ACTGATCTCTGTTCTCCAACCCCTGCTCCTCAACAGACCTGCTCTCCATCTCTGTCTCACACCCACACCTCCCCCCCCGCATCTCTGCACAGCAAGATAAATGCTGGGAAGATGTTTTCCCCTTATGGGAGAGTCTAGGACTAGACGACATAGGCTGAGAATAAAGAAGCGCCAATTTAATGCTGAGATAAAGAGAAATTTCTTCTCTGAGGGCTGAGAGCCTTTGGAACTCCTTGCAATAGAGAACTGTGAGGGCAGAGTCCTTTTGTATATTTAAGGCCAAGGTAGATTGATTCACCTGACCAAGAATCTAAGATTATGGAGAAAATGCAGAAAGATAGATATGAGTGTTGGATCAGCCATGATCCCATTGAAGGCAGAGCAGGCTCAAGGTTCTGAACTGTCTACTCCTGTTCTTATTTCTTATAGTCTTATGAAGAGAAATATCTCAGTGTTTACCCTGTCAAACCCCCTAAGATTCCAATATGTCTCAGAGATCGCGCCTCATTCTTCTGAATTCCATTGAGTGGACAATCCATACTGAGGATTGCCCTATTGAGCCTTCTGTGAACTGCCTCCAATGAAATGATACCTTTCCTTAAAGAAGGGGACCAAAACTGTTCAGTATTCTGGATGTGATTTCACCAATACCTTGTACAGTTGCAGTAAGACTTCTCAACTTTTATACTCCAACTCCCTCGAAATAAGGGCCAACATTCCAATAGCCTTCCTTGATTACCTGCTGCACATGTGTGTTAGCTTTGTGTTTCATGCACAAGTTACCCCAAGTCCCTTTCTGTTGCAGCTTTATGTGGTTTCTCTCCATTTAAATAATGCTATTCTTTTGTTCTCAAATGAACAACTTCACGTTTTGCCAATTATACTCCATTTGCCAACATTTTGCCCACATTTTATTTATCAATATCTCTGTAAATTGTTTGTATTCCTCTTGCTACTTGCTTTTCGACCTAATTTTGTGTCCTCTGCAAATGTAGCTATGGTACATTCATTTCCTTCCTCCAAATATACTGTAAACAGTTGCAGTCCCAACACTGACCCCTTTACAATCCCATTGGTTACAAGCCGACAACCTGAAAATGAACTCCTTGTTGCAACTTGGCATTTTCTGCCCATTAGCCAATTATTTATCCATATAGATTTCATAGAATCCCCACAGTGTGGAAACAGCCCATTCGGCCCAACAAGTCCACACCGACCCTCCGAAGAGCATCCCACCCAGACCCATTCCCCTACCCCTATAACACTGCATTTCCTGTGGCTAATGCGCCTAACTTACACATCCCTGAACACTATGGACAATTTAGCATGGCTAGTCCACCTAACTTGCACATCTTTTGACCGTGGGAGGAAACCAGAGCACCCAGTGGAAACCCACGCAGACATGGGGAGTTATGTGCAAATTCCACACAGACAGTCACCCAAGGTTGGAATCGAACCCAGATCTCTGGCGCTGAGGCAGCAGTGCTAACCGCTGAGCCACTGTTCTGCCCAGTATACATAGTATATCAGTGTAGTATCTATGACACCATGGGCTCTTATGCTATGACTTAATCTTTTATGAGGTACCTTCTCGAACAATACCTGGAAATCCAAATAGGTATACTGGTTCCCATCTTTCCGTTCTAGTTGAGACTTCCTCAAAAATACCCTAATAAATTGGTCAGACATGAGTTTCCTTTCAGGAAGGTCCTCACATCTGTCCCTGTCTCTCCAACTCCTCCTCTGTCTCGTGCTATCTGTGCTGAATGCTGCACGTTGTGTAGAGTAATGTTGTAAGATGAAACTCGTCAGATTTTTACAGATTTGATTTCTGTTTGTTGTTTGAAGAGTTCCAGAAACCTACAGTACAAGGATTTCTTTGACCCAGTTGAGGGTGAGAAACCCATGGTGAAAGATGACGATGAGGAGAATGAAAGTGTTGAGGCAGAAGAGGAACCAGAACCAGAAGGATTTGAGCAGGAGGAAGAAATGGATGAGTATGTTTTCTGAGGTTGATTATCTTAACCCCTAGGCCTAAAAGGCCATATAGCACTGGATTCAATTCTCCAATTGTTGATCTAAACTCCCAACCCAACCTCAACCTCTCTGACAGTTCATATGACTGGCAGAAAGAATGATTTTTGTCCACGTGTTTGGTGTGCCACAGTTGGAATATAAAACCCCCCAACAGGACCATCTGTCACCCTCTTCATCACCCAGGAATATAAACGTAATTTATACGTTTTCTGGTTCCTTGGCTCCATATGTGATCCAAGTGACTATTGCCAGACTTTGTCTGGACGCCACGTAGAAATGGCCAGCACAGTGTGTTTGCAGTTGCTGCCTTTTGTACAGAATGATGCAATCTAGCATCATAAATCTTAACTCTTCCCCTCACATCTGCTTTGGCTTTTGATGATATGTACCTGAATTGTTGAACCTCTTGATTCATGCACATTTAGTCAGGGCACTTCGATGTAGAAGCCTAACTAATGCTCTGGGTGAAATCAGCAATGTAATGGAGCCTCGGCCACAGAGACCAGGTCCAAAGAGCCATTTCCACTGGAGTCCTGCAGAATTAAAAGCTCTAAGGTTTTGGAGTAGATCTGTAGCTCGGGTTGTGGATGTTGAGGTTGGTTGGCTCGCTGAGGTCGTTTGTTGTTTTGCAGACGTTTTGTTACCATGCTTGGTAACATCCTCAGTGCAGCCTCCGACAAAGCGTTGGTGTGTTTTCCCGCCTGGTTTTTAAACTCTGGGGGCCATTGAGATGGATTGCCTCACTTCCGGTTTTCCTTCGTAGTGGAATGTATATGGGGTCAAGTTCAATGTGTTATTAATAGCATGCTTCCAGAAATTCTTGTGCTTGTCTACGCCGAGAGGAAGAAGAATACCTCTTCCAAGTGTTCAAGGATAATGGATATCCAAAGAACTGGGTCAGAAGATGCCTACAAGAACAGCATCGGAAAGACTCTACACACCCCGACACACTCGTCACACTACCCTACATCAGGAACACGTCGGAACTCACCACAGGACTCCTACGACGCTGGGCATCAAAGTGGCACACAAGCCCACGTCAACCCTACGACAAGTGCTCACCTGAACTAAAGACCCACTCCCTGCCACGGACAGGACCAATGTCATCTACAAAATTCCCTGCAGAGACTGCGAGAAACACTACATCGGACAAACGGGAAGGAAACTAACAACAAGAGTACATGAACACCAACTGGCTACAAAAAGACACGACCAATACTCACTCATCTCAATCCACATGGACATGGAGAACCACGACTTCGACTGGAACAGGCTAGGCAGAGACAAGCACGAGAATTCCTGGAAGCATGGCACTCCACGAAGCATGCTATTAATAAACACATTGAACTCGACCCCATATACATTCCACTATGAAGGAAAACCGGAAGTGAGGCAGTCCACCTCAATGGACCCCAGAGTTTAAAAACTAGGCGGGAAAACACACCGACACTTCATCGGAGGCTGCACTGAGGATGTTACCAAGCATGGTAACGAAATGTCTGCGAAACAAGAAACCAGCTCAGCGTGCCAACCAACCTCAAGAATTAACTGTCCCAACTGGTCTGTGCCACAGCCATCTGTTAGAAGCAAAACCAAATTGTTGGAAAAACTCAGCAGGTCTGGCAGCATCTTCGAAGAGAAATCAGAGTTAACTTTTTGGGTTTAGTGATCCTTCCTAAGAACTGTAAGCTGGGATCTGTGGGAATTTGATTGAGAAACATATGAGATAGGAGAAATAGACTTTTTTGCCTCTCATCTCTGTCTGCCAATCAACAAGATCACGGTGGATTGATTTACGTCTCTGCCACCTACCTCTGGCAACCTCAATCAAGCAAATAAATAAACCAATAAACCTCGCTCTTCTAAACTCCCATATAAACAAGCCCAGCCTGTCCAACATTTTCTTGTAAGATAACCCATTCATTTCAGGTAGCAATCTAGCAAACCTCTTCTGAACTAATTTATTTACACACTTCCTTGAGTATGGAGACCAAAACTATACACAGTATTCAAGATGTATCCTCACTGGAAAGTAGCAAATGCAACCCCTTATTCAAGAAGGCAGGGAGACCTTCTTAAAAATTGTAAAAAATTTGTGGCCCGAGTGCAGGACTGTAATTGTCAAATCCTGCCAATCTATAACAGACTCATTTATGTACTCTTTGTTTTCTGCCAGTCAGCCAGTCTTTTATCCATGTTAATATATTACCTTGTGTGTAATGTGGCACCTTATCAAATGTCACCTGAAAATCCAAATATGTCTACCAGCTCTCCTTTATGCACAGTGCATTACTCTTCATAGAAGTCTGATATATTAGTTAAATATGATTTTCCTTCGACATAACAATTCTGACTCTTCTGGAAGAATGGTCCTGACCTGAAACATCAACTTTCCTGCTCCTCTGATGCTGCCTGGCCTGCTGTGCTTCTCCAGCTCCACACTGTGCTATCTCTGATTCTTCCTGATTACCTTGAGTTTTTTTAAGTACGCAACTATAATCTCTTTAATGATTCATTCTAACCCCTTCCCCATGGCGGACATCAAACTATCTTGCCTATAGTTTCCTGTTTTCTGTCTCCCTGCCTTCTTGAAAAAGGGATTATATTTGCTACTTTGCAGTTTGATGGAACCTTTCCTAAATTTAGGGAATTTTGGAAAGTTGGCACAAACACATCTACTACCTCATTAGCAATCGCTTTTTAAGATTCTTGAATGGAGTCCATCTGGACACAGACTAGTCACCCCACCTTTCCACCAGTTTGCTTAGTAAAACTTCCCCGGTGAATGTAATGTCACTTAAGTTTCTGTCTCCCTTCTACTTTTTGATTTACAGCTGTTAATGAAAGGTTAAATTTGTACTTTCTATGGTGAACAAAGAAGCAAAATTTGCTTGTTTCATCTCCAACTTCCTTATCTATCATTTAACTCCCAATTCCCACACTCCAGAGGACCAACGCTCAGTTTACTTTTTACCTTTTAAATACCTAGACATTCTCACTATCCATTTTTATATTTCTAGCTAGCTTTCTCTCATACTCTAATTTCTTCCTCCTGATTAACCTAGTCATTTTCTACCATTCTTTATATCCTGGTGAATCATCTGACTTGCCACTCTTCATTGCACAGTTATAGGTTTTCCCCCTTGAGTTTCATGCTTTCCATAACTACTTTAGTTAACTAAAGATGGTGGGTTATCCTTTTTTATATAGTAGGAATATACTTATTCTGAGTATTCTGTAATAATCCCGTAAATGCCTGCAACTGTGTGTCTATTGATCTATGCACTGAAAATAGATATATTCTTCTTACAAACTAGTGTATTTATATATTGTATTAATTAATTTTGCCTTAATTTGGGTTCCTTTCTATGATCCAGAAACCAGGAGATGGCCAAGTTTGTGTGTGCCCAAGAGGCCAAAGGGACACATCGGAAAGTTCGCTTTAACCTGCCAGATGACACTGATGGGGAGGAATTAGCCGACATGAGAGGAAGAAACAAACCAGAAGAGACAAAATCAACCTTTGAGAAACGACAAGAAAAGGTGATTATTGGAATTACAGTGAACACATGGATAGGGCACAATATCCAGCACAACATTTCACCTTAAATAAAGTCCTGAAATGTATCCCCTGTGTACAATACACAATCTAGATGATTCCACAAAGGAGTTATTAGGAAGATGACCAATGGTTTTGTCAAAGAGCTGAGGTTTGAGAAGGCTGTTTCAGGAGAAATTTAGAGGAAAATTCTGCTACTTGGGGCATATGTAGCTAAAGATATAACTGCTAGTGGTGGGCTGGATGCAGCTGAAGAAGGTTTTGGGGATAGGAATGAGAATGATGTGAAGAGATTTAAATATGAATGTAAATTTTTGGGGAAGCATGAGTGCTGTTTCAGAAATCAGGTGTTTCTCTCCACAGATGCTGCCTGATCTGTTGAGTATTTCCAATGTATTCTGTTTTAATTTCAGATTTTCAGGATCCACGACATTTGCTTTTGAAAAGTCATTGCAGATCTTGTAATTAGAAGTTATGTAATGATGTTTAAAATCATGAAAAGATTGGACAGAGTAGATACAAGCAAACTGTTATATGTGATTGAAGGCTTTGCCTTCAAGATTAACTCTAAAGATATCTGGACAGAGAGTAGTCTTTACTCCGGGTTCAGAGGTTGTGGAGTTAGTAATTGAAGTGTAATGTTCAGATTAGTGGCTAATGGAACCAAATGATGATACAGAATACAGATTACTGCTTATTGTCCTCAGAATGTGGGGTGTTTGGGTGGAATTACTGGTCTGCAGCCCGTGACCTCTGCATAATGTAATTCACAGGTAACCAGCATTGTGTTGTATTTTGTTTCCTATAGCTGAATGCACAAATCCAACAGCTGGAACAATCTTTCTTGGAGCAGAAGCCTTGGCAGCTTCTAGGAGAGGTCAGTGCCCAGAAACGACCAGAGAACAGCCTGCTGGAGGAGGACCTCCAGTTTGACCACGCAGTTAGGAAGGGTAAGCGTCCCCTCCACACAATAACCTTGAACTTATGGGGGATGGGGGGGATGCTCATTCAGACACCATTATGTTTTTAGCGTGTGTGTGTGTCTTTATGGGCAAAGCTTTAAGCTGTGCTATGGAAAAATGGTACACTGTAGAAACTGGAAGTCTGAAATTAAAAATGAAAATCCACAGCAGGTCAGATAGCATGTATGCAAAGAAAAACAGTTTTAGGTCACTAACCTTTCATCAAAGTTCATAATTCAGATGTAGTTAACTTTATATCGATTTTGTGCTCCTTTTTATATCTGTTCCTCAGCTCCAGTAATCACTGAGGAGACAACACTTAAACTGGAGGATATCATTATCCAGAGGATTAAAGACCAGGTAAGTGGACATTTTTGTCAGTCCCTCCTGGATCAACTTTTCTGTTAGGTTGGCGATTTTCCCCAGGTACTGTCGGCAAATATCTGTGAAGTTAGAGCCAGTGGTTTGTGCCATATAGCCTGGTGTGTCTAGCAACTAATAGATTGGAACATTCTAACTGTGCATATTGGTGCCTAATTGCACGGGGAGCTTGTGCATTGCCAAGAATGATGTATTTATGTTTCACCCACTGGAGTTCTTGTTAAAACAAACATAAAACATAGGAAAATAGGTTAACTGAAAGTAGAACAAAGTGGAAAATACAAACTAAAAATGCAAATAATAATAGAAAAAAAATTAATAAAATTTTAAAAATGGAAGTGGAGTTTTTGAAGTGGGATTAATGTTTTTTATATATGTAAAATTTATTATGAAATGTATGCTTTAAATGCTGCAGTTGCCCTAGGGAAAATAGATGTTTCTCATCCTGGGATCTGGGAGGCATGTTTATGTAATTAGATTCAAAACATGCTGTTTTATTTCATAAGTAAGAGCAGAGAGATGGAGGGGATGTTCATAGAGCTGTTCAAAATGATAAATAGGATAGCAGAGGCCAGTACAAATCAAATGATTTCATTGGTCAGAAGATCAAAGGTGAGCCCATGACATTAAACTAAGCATCAGTACAATGTTTCACAATGGAGGACATTTGTCATCATTGTTGGAAAGGAAATGTTTTGTCACATGGTTGACATTTGATTTAATAATTTAACACCATTGCTATAGTTAAAGATGAGGCAAGAACAAAGGAAAATGCAACTGCAGAAAATCCGTCTAGAGAGAAGCCTGTATGTTCAGGGATAAAATAGCTGTCCGCCAATCAGAAATGTCAAAATCTTAGAACACGTATTGGGGACCAGTTGGCCAATGAGGGGCGTGAAGGAAGGACTATCGTCTGCAAACAGACCAGTTTGACAGGACCTGGAGCCGTGGCAAGAGGTTCCCTTCCCAAATGTTCATTCCCACTTGCTTTGTGGGTTGATATGCATGTTCAGCATTTTCTGCTTCAACCAGGATTGATGAGGTGAATGTTTGGAATTGATATATTTAGTCTCCTTCAAACAATCAATTTTCCACAACGTTGTTTCTGAATGGTTTACAGCCATGGGGTAATTGGTCTGGTTCTCTGCACCATTTTCTTTTATAAGTTCTTAATTGGCAGCCATTTAATGTACAGCGATCAGTTATCAATGGGTAAGCATCATGTACCATGTGTTACAGGCTTGGGATGATGTTGTACGTAAGGAAAGACCAAAAGAAGAGGCCTTTGAATATAAAAAGAGACTCACCTTGGACCATGAGAAAAGCAAACTGAGCTTGGCTGAAGTTTATGAGCAAGAATATCTAAAGCAAACTCAGGTAATAATCTTAGATAATCACAAAACACACTAAAAGTCAGTGGAGTTAATTGGGTTTGAAGAAGACATTGTTTGTGCTGTGGCTTTTAATATAGGAATAACAGGAATAATAACAGGAAACCATGAAACAGGGCAGAGTATCTGGCTCAGTGTTGATGCCGAGCACTATTAATACTCTGGCAACACTCACTTAGGGGAAACAATGGCATAACAGTAATGTCATTAGACAAGTAATCAGTAAATCCAGACTAATAACCTGGGGATATGGGTTCATGACAGAAACTTGTGCAATTCACGTTAATTAGTTTGAGGTATAAAGATAGTCTCAGTTATGGTGATCAAGACAATTGTCATGGATTTTTATAACATCCCATTCTGGCTCTCTCATGTTGTTTAGGGAGGGAAATCCGCCATCCTTACGTGGCTTGGCCTAAATGTGACCTCAGACCTGTGGCAATGCTTCTAAAATGGTCAGGAAGCTGCTCAGTTCAAGTGCAGTGAGAGATGGGCAACAACTGTGGAATTGCCAGTGATACCCCGATCCTATGAAAGAATAAAGGAAAAAAACTTCCTGATTGGTATCACACACCTAAATATTCATGTGTGTGTAACACCAGAATGATTCCAATGAAGCTGTCCCCTGTGAAAGTCAACGCCTTCAGGTACTGATTCCTCCCAGGGAGAGTCAGGAACTGCTCTCCCGGTGAGACTCAGCACTGTATCCCAGTGAGAGCCATCACCTTCAGGAACTGTATCCCAGTGAGAAATCAGAACCATAAGGAACTCTCCTCCAGTGACAGCACCTTGTGAGTAAACTGTGAGATCACAGGTTAAGGCCATATTGGTGTGTGAGATTACATAGTTGTCACATGGCTGTAAACATGTCAGATTTTTAATTAAACTCTTGCAATTGCAGCAAACATCTGAAGTGGAGGAAGATGTGCAGCATGCTGAGATCCAGAAGCTGATGGATTCCCTTTTCCTTAAACTGGATGCACTCTCAAATTTCCAGTTCGCACCCAAACCAGTGAGTAAAAGAAACAGTGAAAATTAGAGACAAGCATGATCTGCATGATTGTATCACTGTAAGTGTATGGCCGTTGTCTACTCCCAGACTACATCAGCACCCACTGGATGGTCATTTCCCCTGATGCATTATTTGATAATATGACTTTCACTACACTGGAGCAGGCTGGCTGCTGGAGCAATCAGATCAGCTGCATTTCTATACTGTGTTGATTTAGCTAATTCCAGCTAGGTGAAACCAAAGGTGAACCACAATGTGCTTCAGCCCCCACATCATCTGCTCTGACCCCTGCTGGAATACAGGGTTGGATATCCCTCGATTTGAGGCTCACACAGTAAGAATGATCACTGGATGTGGAAGCATGCAAGCAATTCCTGAGATACTATTGCATGCTAATTTCAAGTGTTAACGAGAGAAAACTGTCAAACAGAACTGGTAAAATAAGCACATACTCCCCTCAGTGCTGAGGTAGAATTGAAAGGTTTGGATTCAAACGCTGAAAAATAAATGTCTACAATTCAACCACTCACTTTCATTCAACATGTAAATCTTGTGATTTGTGTAATTGACTGCACTTGCTATCTAGATCGTCTGATTTGTCATAGGGGCAGGTTTACACCACCCCACAGCGGTCTGACTCAGTTCTTTGTGTGGTGCAAAAATCAGTACCTGCCACATCCAGAGGATAAGTCACTCACCATGCAATGTGCAACTCACACTAACTATTGAACTATGTCCTCTTAGTTGTCAGTGGGGGTGGGAGAATAGGATGTTTGAACTGTCCCAGTGATTGGGGTCAGCTTTTAACACCTGTTTTCTTTTGCCAGCCCGTGCCTGAAGTGAAGGTGGTCTCTAACCTGCCATCTATCTGTATGGAGGAGGTAGCACCAGTGAATGCTAGTGATGCTACTTTGCTAGCACCAGAAGAAATCAAGGTAAGAGATGAAAGAGGAAGATAATATAAAGCCAAATGGCACTGAGTCCCACTTTGCCCAATCCTTTTTAACTGATAACTGTTGGGGAAGAGTTGCAACATCAGCCTCTACAGTTTTGTTTTTAGAGGTGAACTCAAGCTTGGACCTCTGCTACCGGCTATGTTAGTGATTCCACAGATAAGAATGGGATCTTGATTGTGCTGACCACAAAGCTATTCATAGTTCAGATTCAATACATTTGATTGGCTGTGCTGCAGAATCACAGTATCAGTGAGACTGTAGTGGGAGAGATGGTGTGATGACGGGAGTCTGTAGAGTCTGTCTTGTATGAACACTGGTTTATTTTTGTGCTGACCGGGCTAATAATTGCAGGAGAAGGGCCGAGCTGGAAAGCTCCAGGGAGCCACAGAAAAGACAGCAACAGACAAGAAACGAGACAGAAGGAAGAAAAAGAAACTGAAGCGTCTCCGACTGAAGGAAAAGGAAGCACATCAGAAAGTGCTGGCGAAGCTGAATGTGAAGCTGAGTAATGAGCAAGTGAAGGAAAAGAATGCTGAAACATTGAGAAAATTGACCCAGGAAGGAAAGGCAACATTGTTGAAGGTAACCACTGTCATTGATTGATTAACATCTGGTGCAGGCAGCAGTGTAATCAGACTCAAAAACAGAAGTTGCTGGAAAAGCTCAGTAGGTCTATCAGCATCTGTGAAGAGAAATCAAGAGTTAACGTTTCAGGTCCAGTGACCCTTTCTCAGAACTAGTCATTGGTCCTGAAACATTAACTCTGATTTCTCTTCACAGATGCTGCCAGACCTGCTGGGCTTATCCAACAACTTCTGTTTTTGTTTGACTTACAGCATCCACAGTTCTTTTGGTTTTTATATGGTGTAATGAGACTGTTTAATGTCTGTCAATGAATGAGAGATGCAGAGATTAAATTAATGTTACCATGTTTTATTTCATTTCAATGATTGCTCCATGTGGTAATATAATCTCCATGAGTTCCATTATTCCTATTCACAGCAAGTGTTTCCTTTACAAAATGTTTGGACCAGCTTCCTTCCATGTACTGCATCAAAATTTCAAACACTATCCCCATTAGAATAAAAGCAAAATACTGTGGATGCTGGAAATCTGAAATATACTTGATAAAATGCTGGGGAAACTGCATTATACTAGATTTGAAACATTAATTCTATTTTACGCTACCAAACCTTCTAAGTTTCTCCAGCATTCTCCTGATTCATGTCATTTAATTTGTATCAATTCCTACTCAAAATTCAAAGAAGTGCTTGTCAGAAAATACACAGCAGTTCTTTCACCATCACATTTATAGTCGGGTCATTGTGTACAGGCAATCTGAATTGTAAGCCTATCCTATCCTTTCTGACTTGTATTTCCAACATTCCCTCTAATGCTTGGTTCAATTCACTTATCATACCTCTTTGCAGTACTTGCTCATTTTTGTATATATCCTATCACTTAATGATCATTTACCATTTTATCTACTTTGGTAAAGTCTCTCCTTTTGATACTGCCTGAGGCATTGATACCCAAAAAAGAAGCCTTCTGTTTACTGTAGTAGATTTTATATGAAGCAGTATGTGGAAAATTCTGTAATCTCCTTGCCTTTGATTTCCTGTGTAATTCCCGGGGTGAGGGGGGGCAGGGTGGTTCGAAAGCTAACGTTTCTATAATAAAGTGAACTTCTACTTCTGTTTTGTTTTTAACTATTAAAAGGATGAAGGCAAAGACAAAACTCTGCGGTCGTCAAAGGCCTTTTTCTCCCAGTTACAAGATCAAGTGAAAGCTGAGCTGAGAGGAGCCAAGATGGGAGCCAAGAAGCAAAACAAACAGAGAGCTCTATCAGCAAGCAAGCTGAAACTTTAATTCTGGGCCCTTCAGCTCCTTTGTATTGTTACTTACCTGTATCCTGTACCTACTTATAATTGTATATAAGAGCATTCCAAAAACTTTAATCCAATATCTTTAATTTAAAACATGACTGTTTCCAAATAAAATACCGACTTTTCTCTATGTTGTATGGAGGGTGTTACCTTTGAGAGATCAGGCACTTGTTAACATTAGCTATTCACCTGTATCATAAGGTAATAGTTTTCATACGGTGGATAATACTTTGGTGGGCGCAGCGGTTCAAAGTGTCAAAGCAAAAAAAAATTCTAACAAAATGTAAACATCTCACGCTGCACAAAATTAATTGGCCCCCTATTCAATCCAATGCAAACGCCTACTTCTCATTTGGTTTTGCTGCTGGATCGCTTGACAAATGCCGTTGGGATCCCATTCCTGGACCATGTGTGGGTAGTGGGCGGGATCAATTCCTGAGACTTGATTGGTCGACGCCGGGACTAACCTGTGATTGGTTGGTTTGTCGGCGGAGGTTGGACAATGATTGGTTGTCCCTCTGGGGGCGGAGCCATCGGCGGTCATGTTGTCTCCTCTCCCGAAGAGGCCGTGCTCCCGCCTCTCGCTGCGGGCGCGAAGAGACTCTTTGGCCCGGGGATGTATTCAGGCCACGGCCCCTGCCCCGGGGTGTACAGCGCCTAAAGCGCAAGTAGCTCTCCGGAGTGCTGAGGGCAATAGCGGCGGCATTCCATGCAAACTCTCGAGGCGGCATCGGAGAGCGGCCCCGGCCCAAGGGGAAAGAGCGGCGCCCGGGGACGGAGCGGCCCCGGCCCAAGGGGAAGGAGCGGCGCCCGGGGACGGAGCGGCTCCGGCCCAAGGGGAAGGAGCGGCCCCGGCCCAGGGGGAAGGAGCGGCGCCGGCGAATGGAGCGGCCCAGGGGGAAGGAGCGGCGCCGGCGAATGGAGCGGCCCAGGGGGAAGGAGCGGCGCCGGGGAATGGAGCGGCCCTGGGGGAAGGAGCGGCCCTGGCTCAGGGGGACGGATTAATCCTGGAGGAGGGTAGGCCCCCGCTCCCATATTACTTGAGGAATTTCTTGCTGGTGATGGAAACGGTTCTGGAGAGTGAAGATAAAGAACTTTTCAATGAAGCCGATGACCACTGGCTGGGAACATTCCAGAAACTCTCAGGTGATTAGACAGCGGCCAGGGGCGCTGACCCGGCAGAAAATTGTGGCCAAGTCCATTCAGGCAGCTGCTGTTGGCCTCAGTATCGCAGTGCAGAGCACTGATTGATCCAGACCAGGCGGCGCAATGAGGTCTCCAAAGGCGCAATGAATGAATTTTTGTATGAATGGAGCTGGAGTCTGTCTCATGTGAGGGTGGAGGAATTTACTTCGCCTCGAATTCTTTGGGATTTGAGAGGAGACCCACTTGCCGCTTTTCTTTTAGGAGAACTACGAACGTTAACTTCCCTTAGCACCACTCCATAGCCATAGGATCTTGATTGTTGTGTCTGAATTAGATCCAATCACATAACTCAGTCTTTCCACGCTGTAGGGATTCTATGATTCTTCAGCCGCCCGGAACATTAAATCTCTAACGTCTAGTTACCAACCTGATTTGTTTCATTTTAAAGTCTGAACACCTCTATTAAATCCCTCATCCCTGCTATCAGTCTAGTTGTAGTTTCTCTGTGTCCTGTGGGCGGCTCAGTGGTTAGCACTATTACCAGGTTTGATTCCACCCTTGGGCCACTGTCTGTGCGGAGTTTGCACATTCTCCCTGTGTCTGCGTGGGTTTCGTCCGGGTGCTCCAGTTTTCTCCCCACTCCAAAGAGTAGATTAGGTAGATTGGCGATGCTAAATGGCACACAGTTTCCAGGGATATGTAGGTTAGGTGCATTAACCATAGGCAATGCAAGGCTACAGGGGATTGGGTGGGATGCTTCTTGGACCATGAGTGTGGACTGGATGTGTTGCATGGCCTGTGTCCATACTGTAGAGATTCTGTGATTTCCAACAGCCGAAAGTATGGATATATTACTGTGTTTGAGATCTAACCAGTATTTTATAAATATTTTATGTCAAGCACTTGCCTCTTCAACAAATTATATAACACCTTCATCATAATGAGACATCCAAAAATACTACAAATGAACATTGAAACAAAGTAGAAACTAAAGCCCTTTGAATTATTAGCTCAGGTGACCTTGGAGTTTAGGAATGTTTTAATGTAGGAAAATGGGGCATAGGGAGGGAACTCCAGAGCTTGGGGCCTAAGTACCTCAAGGCACAGCTGTTAGTGATGGACAGATTATGATTGGGAATGTACAAGTTTCCAGAATTCCAAGACGGCAGACGTCAAAGGGTTGTGAGACTGGAGAGGCTTATGAGATAGGGAGGGGCAAAACCACACTGGGCTTTAAAAACAAGGGTGCAATTTTTAAAATCAAGGCATTGACTGGGAGACTTTGTACACCAGTGAGCTAAGTGAGAGTGGAAATTGTGGCCAGTGCCCCTGCAATCTGTCAGTCTAGCCTGGAGTCAGGAAGTGCCAGAAGCTGGAAAATTACCAACTTATGGCCCTGTTCAACAAAGGTATAAGGATAAGCCCAGGAATTACAGACCAGTTAGTTTAAATTTGGTGTTAGGAACGCTTTTCGAACAAATTATTCAGGAGTTTGTAATCACATGGAAAAAGGTAGCTTGATTAGGGGAAATCATGTTTGACTAGCTTGCAAGATGAAGAGATAATGGAAAAAGCTCAAGGGTGATGTTGTTGATGTGATATACATGGACTTCCATAAGCAGTGATATGGTGCCATATAACAGCCCTGTGAGGAAAGTTATAGCTCGTGGAATAAAAGAGATGGTGGTAATGTGGGTACAACATTGACTGAGTGACAGGAGACAGAGAATAATGATCAATGGATATTTTCAGGTTGGTGGAAGATTTATAGTGGAGCGCACCACTAGTTTTTCTGATATGTGTTGATGATCTGGATCTTGGTTTGCAGGGGACAGTTTCAAAGTTTGCAGATGACACGAGAGAGGAGGCTAAGAGGGGGTCTGATACAGGTTTTCAAACCGATGGGAGTAGTTAGAATGGACTGCTTGGAAGTGTGGTGGAGGCAGGTTCAATCGATGCATTCAGGAGGACATTGAATGATTATTTGGAAAGGAATAGTGTGCGAGAGAAGGGGGGGAGAAAGCAGGAGATTATCTCATGTCAATGATCTTCATTTGAACAGCCGGTTCAGACACAATGGGCTGAATGGTTTCCTTCTGCATTGTCACAATTCTGGAAGGAATGCAGTTGAATGGTTAAGAATGGAGGTATCAAAGGTGTAAAACTAAGACTTCCATGTGCCTTTAACAAGCTTCTAAATTCATGCTGATGTTTATTATCTGATGCATTTGTTCTACTAACTGGGTATTCCATCTTATCCACAGTTACTGGCCAAAAGCTCTACATGCGACTCTTTCAACGGAAGCTGAACTGGTTGAAAGTGACTAAACTGAATTATCCTGAAATTGGTTCAGATCTGACCCCCATCATTGAGGAACTGAGGCTTGTAGGCTTGTTACTGACAGGTAACCCTAACCCTATGGGCTCCCAAAGGGAGGGTAGGTTTTAATCAGCAATTTGAAGATAGCTGTGTTACTGAATGTAGAATCGTCTTCCATCTCCACGACTTTAGCATGTTTTGACCCTCGCCCTTTCATTTGGCCACCATCTTCAGACTTTCTAGAATTTTCTCCCCTGCACCTGTTAAACCTTCTGAAAACTCAACTGCTGGTAAATTTCTTCCATTCACTGCTCCTTTATTTGACCTGTTACTAACCTCTGCCACTCTCCAGTGAAGCCATGGGGCTTTTTGCTGTTTTTCAGATGCTGTGCCATAATATCTGAAACCCATGATGTCACCACAGTAAATATTCAGCTTGAGGTAGGCTCAGGGTCCTGGGAGAGGCAGTGACTGTACCGTCCTTACAGACCCATTACCCAACATTTATCCCCTGCTATCCAGGCATTCCTGGCCCACACCATCCTGTGTGTTATATGCTGACTGTGCACTTTTCATCCTCCTAGAGTCAGATTTGTGCAATGTCTCAGAGGCCCTGAACCTGCTGTCTGCTCCTGAACTCAAATTATTGGCAAGAAACTTCCATCTGCGACCCCAGGGTCAGAGGGCAGAAATACTGGGGTCTCTGCTACGTTTGTCCAAGCAACAATCGATCTTCAGCTGCAGTCAGAAGCCATCGAGTCCTGGCCTCGCCCTCCTCAACAGGTCTTTCAAAAGGCACCATTTAACTTTGTACCAGCTGCAGAGTGGAGGTCATGCCCCAGTGAGGAGGGGGTAGGCAAGAACAATAGGATGGGGTTGTCTCTGCTCCAGGTGAGGGTAAAGTAGTGATAAAGGGAATCAGGTCCAGGAGGTTGAGGGATTTGGGTTGTAGAGGAGGACAAAGGCAAGATTTCTACTTGTGGAAGGGTCTTGGACTAGGACAGTGTGCAGACTCCTGACAGGTAATGGGTGGGGAGGGGGTACGTGATAACTGATGGTAATGTTAGGGATCAGTGTTGGGACCTTTGCTGTTTGTAATATATATAAATGATTTGGAGGAAAATGTAACTGGTTTGATGAGTAAGTTTGCGGATGACACAAAGGTTGGTGGAATTGCAGATAGTGATGAGGACCATCAGAGGATACAGCTGGTTGGTGACTTGAGCAGAGAGATGGCAGATGGAGTTTAATCCAGAAAAATGTGAGATAATGCATTTTGGAAGGTCTAATCCAGATGGAAAATATACAGTAAATGGCAGAACCCTTAAGAATAGTGATAGGCAGAGGGATCTGGGTGTACAGGTATACAGGTCACAAAGTGGCAATGCAGGTGGAGAAGGTTGTCAACAAGGCATACGGCACGCTTGCCTTCATCGGCCAGGGCATTGAGTTTAAAAATTGGCAGGTAATGTTGCAGCTTTATACAACCTTAGTTCAGCCACCTTTGGAATATTGTGTTCAATTCTGGTCGCCACACTAACAGAAGGATGTGGTGGCTTTGGAGAGGATACAGAAAAGATTTACCAGGATGTTGCCTGGTACAGAGGGCATTAGCAATGAGGAGAGGTTGGAGAAACTTGGGTTTTTCTCACTGGAACAACGGAGGTTGAGGGGTGACCTGATAGAGGTCTACAAGATTATGAAGGGTGTGGACAGTCAGAAGCTTTTTCCCAGGGTGGAAGAGTCAGTTGCCAGGGACCGTAGGTTTAAGGTGTGAGGGGCAAGATTTAAAGGTGATGTACGAGGCAAGTTTTTTTACACGGGTGGTGGGTGCCTGGAACTCGCTGCCGGGGGAGGTAGTGGAAGCAGATACGATACTGACTTTTAAAGGGCACCTTGACAAATACATGAATAGAATAGGAATAGGAGGATACGGTCCCCGGAAGGGTAGGGGGGTTTTCGTTGTGACGGGCAGCATGTCCGTGCAGGCTTGGAGGGCCGAAGGGCCTGTTCCTGTACTGTAATTTTCTTTGTTCTTTATTCTTGTTCTATATCAGCGCCGTGGGGCCCATGGGCTTTCTTTGGTCTTTAAGGTCAGTGCAGTCAATGAGAAGTTGAATAAGCACAAAGGAAGGAAGGAATGGAAGTACGAACTGATAAAAGTTGGTGAAGAGAGGTGAGAAAAAGCTGATGTGGAGCATAAGCAGAGACCAGTTGCTGAAATGTCCTTGTACAAGTCATTGGTGAGGCCACTTTTCGAATACTACATTCAATTCTGGTCTTTCTGGTCTCTCTGCTAGAGGAAAGATGTTAAACTTGAAAGGGTTCAAAAAAGATTTACAAGGATATTCCTGAGATTGGAGGGTTTGAGCTATAGAGAGAGGCTGAATAAGCTGTGGTATTTTTTTCCCTGGAGCATCAGAGGCTAAGGGGTGACCTTATAGATGTTTATAAAATCATGAGGGATATGGATAGAGTAAATAGCCAAGGTCTTTTTCCTGGATTAGGGGAGTCCAAAACTAGAGGTTTAAGGTAAGAGGGGAAAGACTTTAAAGGGACCTAAGGGGCAACTTTTTCACACAGGGTGGTCCATGTATGCAGCTGCCAAAGAAAGTGGTGGAGGCTGATACAATTACATTTGAAAGGCATCTGGATGGGTATATAAATAGGAAGGGTTTAAAGTGATATGGGCAAAATGCAGGCAAATGGGACTAGATCAGATTAGGATGTCTGGCTGGCGTGAACGAGTTGGACCGAAGGGTCTTTTTACGTGCTGTATAACTCTATGACTCTGTACCTGAAAAGTAAACCCTACCTAATACGATGTGTGTTGTCAGGGTGAAGAAGATGATCGGAAATTGTGTGAGAGTTGCTACTCCAGCCCGTGCTGTGTTCTCACGGCTGTTACTACTTTTCAATCTGACGGACTACACAGATGAAGAGGAAGCAGCCAGTGCTGGCCAGAATCAGCTGTCCACAGTGCTGCTGGTTAATATGGGTCATGTCACCTTCCCCAATTACACTGTGCTGAGGAAGAAGAAAATATTCCGACACAGAGATGACCTGCTCAGGTGATGCCACATCTTGATCCACTTTTAACTTCCATACAGTTAATGGGATACTAGCCTGATCTAGGACTTGCTTCTGTGTGGCCAGAACAATTATGTATAATAGGTGGAATAGGTAGAGGTGTTGAACATGTAGTTGAGTGAATGGGTGTTTGGGTGTGTGAAACTCCCCACTACAGTTGCACAGCATTATGCTGAATGTGTGATTTTGACTTCTGATGTAGAATTACTGCCACTTAACTCTGTACTTTGAATAAACAGTTTTCTGACTAACAGTTTGCTGCCTCATGGACTTAGTGTACAAAGATGTACCATCTGCTCCCTAATAGGTGTGTTGACTATCTTTGGTAGATATGATGAAGCCGTGCATTCTCTGGCCGAGGTGATCACCGCAATGACCAATGGGTTCTGGAGTGATGCTCTCCAGATTTACAAAACTGCCAGGGAGAAGTGGAGCCAGCTGGAGAACAACAGTGATGTCAGGTAATGAGCAGGAGTGCACAGTACGGGGCTCCCTCCTAGTCTGCAGTTTTGTGCGATATCAGCCTTTTGTGGGAACAACATACCCTTTCTTATTAGCACTGCACCTCCCCCCCCCGACCTCCCGCAGACCTTTAATTCAATAAATATCCCTGGGGTATTTCACAAGGACAACAGGGAGGAGAGCAGTGATACAAGAAATGGAAAAAGTGGAGAGAAAGTGAGAGATATGTTGGGAGAATTACTAAATATTGGGTCAAACAGCATTCCAAGGAAAGGGCAGAGTTTGAAGAGTGAAGGTACATGTCTCTTGAGACAGAAGGGGAGATTGCAAAGCTAGAGTTGGGCTGAGGTCATTGTTTGTACAGATTTTGAATTCAGTATGGAATTTGGAAAGGATATGGCAAAGGAGAACCAAATGTAGTGCAAAATCACTAGCAAGCAGTAGAAATTTAGATATGTCACATCTCACAGTTCCAGGACAAGGGGTAGATACAGAATAAAGCTCCTTCTAGTCTTTTAAACTAAAAGGAAAGCACTCTTTACTCTTTTCAAATAAAAATGCCTTTACTCTTTTCAACTGAAAATAAATCTCCCTCTGCGCTGATTCTATAAAACACTCCCAGGCAGGGCCAACATGGGGTTAGATATCGAGTAATGCTCTTTCTACTTTTTTTTTTAACTGAAATTAAAGCTCTCAGCAATGTCACCATCAAACACTCCAGGACAGGGACAGCACAAGGTTTGGTACAGAGTTAAGATCCATCTAACCTTTTAAAAGGAAAGTAAAGCTTTCTCTCCTTTACGCTGTCCCCATCAAACACTCCCAGGACAGGGACAGTACACATTACACACATTGTGTATAAAGCTCCCTCTGCATTGTCATATTAATATTCATACCCTCTGCCCCAATATATATTTTCTTTCTCCCTACTGTACCTGTTTGTGAATCAGGGTCCTGCAGTGACTGAGAACTGACTAAATAGCAAACTGAGAAGTTTGAAACCCAAACCACAAAGTAAAGTCCTGAACCTTGGTGTTTTAGTCAAGCTGTGAATGTTCAAATGTTTATTTTGGTAAGTGTTTCTTTTTCATCAAGCAGCAAGTGACAAATGTTCCTTAATTTTAGGTTTCATCAACAGCTCCCAGTGTACCTGCGACGTTTCACTGCAGGCTGGGTCTACACACGGATCCAATTCCATGGGGTTGAAATTTTACAACGACTGCACATGTATGCGGTAAGGAAATGCAGAAGTTTGATAAGACCATAGTAATTCTGTGCTAAGAACAGCGATCAAGCAATTGCTGCTCCCCCAGCCAAGCTGTTCCAATACAGTTACAACACTGGCATCTACCTGACATTATGGAAAATTGCCCAGGTATGTCCTGTACGTAAAAAGCAGGACAAACTCAACCCAACCAATTACTGCCCAACCAAGTCTACTCTCGCTCATCAGTAAAGTGACGGGAGATGTCATCAACAGTGCTATCAAGCAGCACCTGCTCAGCATGACACCAAAATTAGTGGGCTAGTCAACAGCCAAGAAGGTTACCTCAGAGTACAACAGGACTTTGATCGGATGGGTCGAGGAGTGGGAGATGGAGTTTAATTTAGATTAATGTGAGGTGCTACATTTTGGTAGGGCAAATCAGGCACCCTTAATGGGAAGGGCCTGGGAAGTGTTGCTGAACAAAGAGACCTTGGAATGCAAGTTCATAGGTCCTTGAAAGTGCAGTCACAGGTAGACAGGATAGTGAAGAAGGCCTTTTGTATGCTTGCCTTTATTGGTCAGTGCATTGAGTATAGGAATTGGGAGGTCATGTTGCAGCTGTAGGTTAGGTTTGGTTAGGCCACTTCTGGAACCTGTGAATAATTCTTGTCTCTCTGCTACAAAAAAATGTTGTTATACTTGAAAAAGTTTAGAAAAGATTTACAAGCATGTTGCTGATATTGACGGATTTCAGTTATAGGGAGAGGCTGAATAGGTTGGGGCTATTTGCCCTGGAGCATCAGAGGCTGAGGGGTGACCTTTATAGAAGTTTATAAAATTGTGAGGGACACGGATAGGGTGAATAGCCAAGGTCTTTTCCCCAGGGTAGCGGAGTCCAAAACTAGCGGGCATAGGTTTGAGATGAGAGGGGAAAGATTTAAAAGGGACCTAAGCAGCAACATTTTCATGCAGAGGATTGTACGTGTATGGAATGGAGTGGTGGAGTCTGGTACAAATACAACATTTAAAAGGCATCTGGATGGGTATATGAATAGGAAGGATTTAGAGGGATATCGGCCAAATGCTGGTAAATGAGACTAGGTTAATTTAGGATATTTGGTTGGCATAGACAAATTGGACCAAAGAGTCTGTTTCCATGCTTTACATCTCTATGACCTGTTCAGCAATGCCCAGTTTGGGTTCTGCCTGGGCCACTCAGCTCCTGACCTCATTACAGCCTTCTTTCAAACATAGACAAAAGAGCTTAGTTCCAGAGGTGAGGTGAGAGTGACAGCCCTTGATGGTCAAGGCTGCATTTGACCGAGTGCGGCATCAAGGAGTCCGAACAAAACTGGAATCAGTGGTGTTGGAGGCCAATTCTCCAGTAGTTGGAGTCATGCCTGGCACTCGTGGTTGTTGGAAGTCAGTCATTTCAGCTCCAGGACATCTCTGCAGGAGTTCCTCAGGATAGTGTCCCAGTCACAACCATCTTCAGCTGCTTCATCATGACCTTCTGTCCGTCCTAAGGTCTGAAGTGAGAATGGTCACTGATAAAGAAAAGAGAATATCCTTATTGTCACGTGTACTCCAGTATAGGAGTACAATGAAAAGTTTTTACAGTGGCTGCCTTGAATGGTGCTATCTTAGATACAGGTATCTCTGGTACAAATCTTAGAGTAAAAAAAAGTGTTGTTTTCAGTGTAAAAAAAATATAGATTAGCTTGAAACAGTTTAAAAAGCCTAGAATGATAATAAGTGACCATAAGTACTTAAGTTCCAGTCGTGCCTGCAGGCCCCGGAGCACAAGGTCATGCTGCCTCCACGTGCTGTCCTCTATCCTGGACTTACTTTGCCGGTGCTCACTCCACTGTGGGACCTGGCCTGTGCTCGCTCCGCTGCTCGGCTCCGCTCTCTAGGTGGAGGGTGGCTATGAAGAGGAGGAAAAAAGAAGGGATAGGGACTGGCGAGCAAAGGAGTTCCGACTGGAGTGTCCTGCTCTGCCGCCATCTTGATAAAAAAGAATTGCACAATGTTCAGCACCATTTACAACGACTCAGATACTGAAGCAGTCCATGCCCAAATGCAACAAGATCTAGACAATGTCCAGGCTTGGGCTGACAAGTGGCAAGTAACATTCACACCACACAAATGCGAGGTTATGACTGTCTCTTATTGGTGACGATCTAACCACCATCCCTTGACATTTAATGGTGTTGCCATCACTGAATTTCAAGGAGTGGTGGTTATATTGAATCCTCCACTATTAACGTCCCGGGGGTTATCATTGACCAGAAACTCGACTAGACTCCCCACATAAACCAGTGGCTACAACAGCAGGTCAGAGGCTAGGAATACTGTGGTGAGTAGCTCACCTCCTTGCTCCCAAAGCCTGTCCATCATCTACAAGGCACAAGTCAGGAATGTGATGGCTTGCCTGGATGAGTGCAGCTCTAACAACACTCAAGAAGCTTGACACCATCCAGGACAAAGCAGCCTGCTTCGTTGGCGTCACAACCACAAGCGTTCACTCCCTCCACCACTGATGCTCAGTAGCAGCAGTAGTGTGTACTATCTACGTGATGCACAGCAGAAATTCACCAAAGATCCTCAAACAGCACCTTCCAAACCCATAACTCCTTCCATTTAGAAGCACAAGGGCAGTAGATACATGGGAATACCAACACCTGCAAGTTCCCCTTCAAGCTGCTCACCATTCTGACTTGGAAATATATCGTCATTCTTTCGCTGTCACTGCGTCAAAATTCCCGGAATTCCCTCCCTGATGGCATTGTGGGTCAACCACAACAGGTGGACAGCAGCGGTTCAAGAAGGCAGCTCACCACCACCTTCAAGGGCAGCTCGTGACAGGCAATAAATGTTGGCCAGCCAGTGATGCCCACATCCCACAAATAAATTAAAGAAAAATTCACTGCAAGGCCTATGGATCTAGTGTGGACCTTCAGAATTGGGAGCAGTGGCATTGGTTGGTTTAGTATAGTTTAATTAAGCTGATATAGCGACTGAAGCTGCTGATACCAGAATGTTTTTGAATCCTGTTTTCAGGAAGCAGTGGAGGAATTGCAAAATCTTTTGGAACAAAGCATCTATTGTCCAGGCAGCCATGGCCATTGGTGGAATCGACTGAGTCTAAATCTTCACCAGCATCTGAAGCAGACTGATCAAGTAACTAAGACTGTTTTAAAGTTATGATGTTTGATATCATTGCCAAGTCCTTGTACGCAGGAGTATATTGCTATGACAGGCAGATCCCAATTCTAATTGATCCATTACAAGATATCCATCTCTGTTCAATACACTGGAGAAAATTGAACTCAATGCTCTGATTCTGATGTGCTTTACTACACAATAAATGAGGGTTTGTTCACTAATTGGTTAGGTAACCTGGTTGTGGAATGTTGAAGATTTAAATAGGCAGTAAAAGTTGATTTGTACTCAGCTGACTGACAATCTCCTCAGATTATTCTGTCACAAAAGATTCTTGCTCGTATGATTTTTGATTCCAGGCAATCCACTGTTTGCGGAAAGGTTTGGATGATGTCTCGGTTCACTTGGGACATCGGCTGGCTTTATATCAGCGGGCACTGCGGATTCGTGATTCCCCAAGCTGCAAGAAATGGTGTCACCTTCTTCAGGATCTGCCAGTCGTGAGTGTAGAGGATGTGCCACATGTGAGTGTTTCTAAGGAACCCAGAGCCACAATTTATTAACCCATTTTCATTGTCTTCATCTGAAATGAATGGTTTTGTTTTGTTGAAATTGTTTTATTGACTGTTATTCCTATGAAGTTGTGAGCAAAGGCTTGACTGGGTATCTGCGAAACAGAGACAAACTCTCACGCTCAAATGTAAGATGCAATAATGGCTGCTGCTTCAGTTCACAAGGAATCCAGATCTCCCTCCTCCCCCACCCTCGTAGAGGATTGGCCCCAGTCTGCTGAGTCCCACTCCTGAAATCGCTGATACTAGCTGGATACTTGACCACAAATGCCAGTTTCTTGGACACCTGTCCCTTCACCAGGACTTCCAGTGGAACTATACAGTAGTAGACCATAAGACATAGGAGCAGAATTAGACCATTGACCCAGCAAGTCTGCTGCACCATTCGATCATGGCTGATATGTTTTCTCAACCCTATTCTCCTACTTTCTCCCATGGCTGATTGTTTGCCTTTCTTGAGATGAGGCTTAATTGTAATTGTTTTCCCAGTGCATCTCTCTCAATCCCAGTGTTTTCTTCATCCATAGGACTCTTGCATAACCCTTTAAGTGATTTTAAGCTAGTAGAGCAGTGGAAATGAATCCCAGTTGATTGTAATTTTCTTTCCAGGTGACGATAAAGGCCAGGTCATGCCCAGGGATGGGCAATGCTTTATTCCTCATGGAGAACATCAGTGAAGGGTCAAGTTTGGGCCAAGGGGAACCTTGCAGTACAGTGATCTGTTCAGTGGAGGAGGTTTCTCTGGCCTACTATCAGCAGCAAGGTTTCGATCAGGGTAATCACTGCACCTAACCTGCTCACTTTTGAGTTTCTGAGGGCAACGACTGTGTGGTGATCTATCACTTTCTCTCTCTCACAGGAATACATGGTGAAGGAACCACATTCTTAACACTCTTTGGACTGCTCTTCTGGGACATTATCTTTCTGTCTGGAATCCCAGATGTTTTCCGAAATCCCTATCAGGTATTTGTAGAATGACACTTGTTGAGATGCTCCCTCCTCAGTCAGATGTTGCTATTAAAACCAAGTCATGTTCGAACAAGTTAGACATTGTGGTACAGGAGGAAGCCATTCAGTCCAATTCCCAGTCTTCCTGTAACCGTCCAAGTTTACTTCCCTTAAGTGCCTTTCCAGTTTCCCTTTTAAATCCTCAAGGACAGTGAGTTCAAGTCATAACCAGTCACGGAGGATGTGAGAAAGACCATCATTGCACCATGTAGCTCATGCCCAAAACTTGAATCAGTGTCACCTGGATCCTGTGCAGTCAGCTACCAGGAACATTATGGCTGGCTCATTTAATTCTGTCATAACCTTGATACCTTCAAATTTCCCCTCAATTAGATTGATTTCTTTCACGATTGTCATAGTACCATTTGACCAGCAGGATGGTAAAAAGCAAACTGGATAATGAATTTATTGCCTGGAAATTGCTACATACAAAAATAATTGTGTCTTTGTGTCCAGGCATGCCCTCTGGATCTCTACACTGACTGTTTCTATGAGCAACGGAGGGAATGCATTGAGTCACGGGTAGACTTCCTGGAAAATGCATCCATTGATACTCTCTGCACACTCATTGCTGATGCGTGGAATGGTTACAGAGGCATAAATGCCACATTAGTTAACTGGGAAATCTTCAACTCACTTCAGCAGGTGCAGGTATACAGCATTTGCATTTACAATGAAAGGTTTCAGGTTTCTTCACCTATTATTTCTGTTGCAATTTCATTGAAAAAAACAAGCACTATTGACTGTCTCCTTTAACATGTTTATGGGATGTTTTTAGAGCCTGGTGAGCTGTCTGGGTGGTCCATTCCTAAGTGGTATTTGTAGGATTCTGGCCAAAGACTTGAGGCATGGCCGTGGGGGCCTCCCTGATCTCGTTGTATGGAACAGCCACAGATGCCAGTATAAGGTGAGTAAAAGTGAGAGTTCTGAGGAAGGGTCACCAGACCCAAAACATTAACTCTGATTTTTTTCTTGACAGATGCTGCCAGACCTACTGAGCTTTTTCAGCAACTTCTGTTTTTGATCCTGAAAAGTGTGATTTTGCCCATGCAAATGCATCCTACATGTTTATACGTTGCAATACTAGAACATACATACACTGTTTCTATTACCTGAACCTGAAAGTGACTGCCTTGCTTTAATTGCTCTTCACCTGTCAATTTTCTCTGGTTTCCAGCTTGCAGAAGTGAAAGGTCCAAGTGACCAACTCTCCCACAAGCAGATGGTGTGGCTGGACCAGCTGCAGCGACTTGGGGCTGATGTCGAAGTTTGCCATGTCAATGCAGTCGGAGCACGGAGCCACCAGCTTAGTTAATGCCAAATGCACAAGCCCCACTTCCCATTCAAGCTACAGCCCAGGAGCTGGGAGGAGGATACATCCCTCCCTGCAGTGTGTGTGGGTGCACGCAGGTGGAAATAGACAGTATCAGCCACTGATTAGTGTTGCTGTGTACGATACTGTAATATAGCCCACCTCTTCCCCACCATGTACTCTTGTTGCCAAACTGCTCGTGGATAGAACATTCACTTTTTAATATCAATATTAAAAAGAGAGACATTAGGAAGAAACAGAAATAGTTTCTCTCTTAAAACAGAAGCTGCAAGACATGTTAAGTATTTCCAGCAGCTTGTTTTTAATTTCTAGTTTCCAGCATTTGTACTGGTAACTTTGACAACTTTTAATACTTGTACAAGCAGCTCTGGAAATGTCATTTAGAAAATACATTAAATATTTCATACTGTGCACTAGTATCTGATTAGCTTATGTGGACCTAATTTATTATTTCCAAGTTTGTAAAAGATAAGTTCTCTACTTCAGGAGGATTTAGTGCAGTAAACAATAAGAGCTGTTAGACCTCAACCAAGACTATGCAGTTTGGTAATCTTCCCAAGAAAGGTATTATTACCACAATGATTAGGCAAACTGGGCTTGTATTCTCTGGAGTTTCATAGAATGAGGTGCATTGAAGTATTTAATCAGCCAAGATCATACTAAATGGTGGAGCAGTTTATATTCCTCCTTTCAAAAAGTTCTCTTTTTATAGAGACCAGTCTGCATCTTTTAAAATGACAGACCGTGACCCAGCAAGTTAAGGAACATTTACACCAAAGTATTTATTGCTTTATTTGAGGCACACAGGATGAACAAATACAGGTTTGGAAAATACATAATGCACACAGTGCATAGCAGCTGAAACCCAGCCCTCCCCTTCCAGCACCTGCTGACAGCAACACCTGCTAAACCTGGAATTAAATAAAAAACAGGTGCTGAATAAATAGCAGAACACAGGTATAACCAAGCAAAGAAAAAGCAATACATTGCACATTCCAACCCATTCTTGATGCAAAAAAAACAGAAACAGATCCTGTATTGGATACCTTTGCTATTACTAAAATGCAAAAAGGATTTGAATCAGTCATTCTACTTCCTGAGGATCTGTGCAGTTTCTGGTTCCATAATTTTTAGCTTTAATGCTTTGATCTAAAACAAACCCTTCATGAATAATTCCCTTGTTTAAAAGACCCAGGATCCTGGAATCTGAAACACTAATTCAAAGTGTAAAAGAACAAATTATATTTGTTGCAGAAGCTTAAATATTAACATTCCCCATTGAGGGGTTTCTGGCCATTTTGCAGCATTTGCTGTTTAATATGGGCAAGACTTAGACTGAGCAGATTTCTGGTTACTTGAGCCCATACACACTCTCTTGGTACAGAATGCTCAAATCGGACATGTTATGCATAGGACTGTATTAGAAACAAAGGATACAATCAATCACATCAAATAATGTATCCCTGCCTGTAATTTAAAACAAGACTGGGAAATGTGCATAGCTACATCATTTGTCAACCAGGAAAGAGACTAACCAGAGAACACAACACAGCACAGCGCTAGATTTAAACTCCAATCAGACTAGAAAGATAGCTCAGTGGGATTTAAAAAATAGAATTATTTTCTAAAATATGAAGGCAAAGTTAAACAAGTTCAGACAGACATTCAGGTCCAAACCTGCACATCCATTAATGCCCGGCCAGTGCCTTTCTCGCTTACCTACTGGATATCAGGAAAGATGGGGAAAATCTTTGCTCCACTGTATTAGAGGTGGTGAAGTTTTCCATCATTAGGTTCTTAATTCTGGGAATGAAATCCTTGAGAAGTCGAAGGGCATTTAAAGGACTTTTAGGTAAGCACATGAATATGCAAGGAATGGAGGGATATGGACCAAGGGCTGGCCAAAGGGGTTAGTTTCATTTGGTGTCACGTTCAGCACAACACCCGTTAGCCAAAGGGTCTGTTCCTGTGCTGTATAGTTCTATGTAACACAATATCGCTAGCTACTGAACCACTATTGTTAAGAGCTCAGCTGAGCCAGTGAAGAATTACAAGAGCCATTAGACAGTGATGAAATATTTTTCCAACAATGTTTCTGCTTGCTCAAAGTTTGAAAGCTGGTAGGTGTAAAACAGATTCAAATCAATAGAGAAAAAGTGCAAATTGTGGAAATACACAGCAAGTCACCAAACATCTGAAAGCAGACGTACAGTTAATGTGTCGGAATAGCCCCCTTCAGACTGAAGTTGAAACTCACCCAATGCATTAACTTGTACTAAACTTCCAAAGCGACAGACCTGCAGGATAAATCGCACTTTTTATTTCCTTTAATGTTCTCTTAATAATTCCCTACCTCTAGATTACAAAACTCAAACAAAGCACTGCTAGCCAAGATGGCAAGGGCCACCTTCTCCCCGCCCACACAACAAAAAAGTAAAATTTGTGCGATTTAAGCTAGAGGGTAGTCAATGGGAATCTGCAAGATCCAGAATTCATTCCACACTGGAGACATATGGAAGTGACAGCTCATTGATACAGGATAAGCTTTCAGCTCCTTCCTCACAGTCTTATCAGGTCAGATTCTACAGCTTTCCCACTTAGCATTTTGTGTAGATAACACATCTTTAGATGAATGACAATTGGGCAGGTTCACGTTATCTTTACTGAGGGTAACTGCGAATGCAGACACCCATTAATCTCAAATTTTCTTCTGCAAAAAAAAACTGTCCGGCCACTTTGAATCTTAATTCAAAATTTAAAATTAAACTGAAGTCATTTCAGATCAAACTGTTGATAGCTCTGCAGCATTTTACTGAGTTATGGTGACCTCATTCTTCATAGGAGTTGTAAAAACTAGCCAACTTCCTGCGAGTTCAGAATTTCAGCCTACTCCAAATTGTTAGACGTACAGTTTCTATCAGGCACTGACGGACAGTTGCCATGGCAGTACACTTATGTCAGGTTCCCCACACACACGGCCCCAATGTGACATTAGAAAATATAGCTGCTTTATGTGATTACAACAGAATTAGATATAAATTAATCACAGTTCAAAACTACAACATCCAGCACTTAGTGGAGAGGAATTTTGCCGAAAAGACTGTGTATATTACTGACCCACACAAACCACAAGGTTACAGTTCCCACCATCAGGCAGTTCTAAGCCCTCAGTTCTCTTGTTGCAGGCATTAGCACTCCCTGCTGCTCCATCCATCCAGTAACTGCTTTATACGGGTGGCAGCTAACAACAGAATTGGGACTGTTTCAGATTTGACACGTGGAATATGCTGCCAACAATCAATTATAAAAATGTCTGAGAGAAATGATCTTAGAGCTAAGGTCTACCTATATCCAGTGGTTTGTCCAGAGACGACAGTGCGAGAGCCAGCACCATCAGGAACTGTATCCCAGTGAGAGCCAGTACCGTCAGACTAATGGAACTTATTTCTCCATCATAGGGTCATGGTCAACCCCAAGGTTCCAATACTCGCCTTGTTGCCAGCCAGATTCAAAGCTGGTCAGAAATTCTCTTTTTAAAATGTACAAAAAATAATTTATTCTGGAAAAGTGTTTCTTAAAATTATTGGAGTTTTTAAAAACTCTTTAGGCACAGTTGGCCATTAAGGTAAAAGTGCTGAGGAACACTTTAAGGCACCCAGTGAGATTACAATTAGTGCAATGTTTCTGCTGTCACATCGTCAAGATATGTCAGGGTCATACTGCTGGCAGAGTTTCAGCTCATCAGACTGGTCCCAGAGGTAAATCACCAGTGTCTAATCCACTGTCACCACCCAGTAGAAGGACTTTGAACAAAAAGTAGGCAATGAGTGGCAGCTTATGGTTGCAATTATTTTGATGAAACACCAAAGGTTTCTTCAACATAAAATATGTTTCAAAAACCCTCTTGGAGCTGTGATGCATTTACATCGAGTGCTTACCCTCTTAAAAAAATCTGTGCAAATTTCTATTATTTTGCATATCCATTACTTGTCAGTGTCGGACAGCAGCGTTCAGTTTGATTCGGTTTAGCTTTTAGCCTTTGCTGGGATGCCAATGCCTCACTTCCCACTCCAGGGATCTTCAATCATCGTTGGCCAGGGTTTCTGTAGAAGGCCAAGTTTTGGCAGCAGTAAGCAAGAATTTGCTTAATGGAGTTCCCAAAATGCTTCGTCGACAGAGGTTCCCAACAGGGGAGAAGGGAAAAGAAGAGGAGAAATAGTCAAATGTCCCAGGTGCTTCACTGAAATCTTTGGTCTGGAAATACATTCTACGACTGTAAGAGTCGGGAAAGCTGGATAGGCAGGGGTCACTCCAATACTGGCGAAGACGCTGCTGGAGAGTTTCAATGTCATCCGCCAACATCGAGATCTTGTGAAATGCAGAGATAAATCCTCCATTGGTAATCTGTGCCTCAGGGATCCAGCGTAAATAACACTGCTTCCAGAGCTGGGTATGTGCACTGCTGAGATGAGGCAGGATGATACCATGCAAGTCCAAGGACTTTGAGAACCAGTCCCTGAAGTAACGTTCCATATTGCGATCATGGCTCTCATTAAGCTGCACTAAATCAGTGCTTGGTCTTTGAATGGAGTTTCGGCGTGGAAAAAAGTCATGCTGGTCACTAAGCTTTCCATTCTTCATCGTGTATACTGAATAGATGGAGGACGACGAATTCTTCTGGTAAGAAATAAGGAGTAAGATGAACAAGCTGCTTCTGCGGTCTCCATTATTCACAGCACAGTGATGGACAACAATATCATAGTCAGCCCCTCTAATCTCTTACTATATTCTGATACTTCCAGAGGATCGCCTTCTGCAGCTTTCATCTCGAGAGGTTACTACACAGCTCACTTCCTTAAAAGCCTTAAAATCAAGGCACATTACTGTCTTCTCCTTCCTACAATTTACAAGCATTAATGCACAAGCGAGGCCCCACTTTGTCTGCAGTTTGCATGTATTCCAGCCCTGGCCTTGTCCTATAGTATGGCCCTATGATTTTCACTCTTAGCAGACATCAACTATAAACATTACTGAGGAAGGAACTTGAGTTCTTGGGACTAAAGCTAATCTGATAATATTTATACTAACAGTTGGGTAGGACCATCTCTTGTTGCCAACATCATAGAGACCCCTCCCACTCTGGTTATCAGATAGAGGGCAGTATGGAGCTGACAGTAATTATCCATTAATCTCAAGATAATATTTAAAAGCAAATAGTCAAGCTACAGTGGCTGATCTCAGGCTCACTCACCTTTGCTCTTTTGAAGGATTTGATTGTCCCATTTTGCACACAAGTCACGCTTTTGCCAATGTACAGAGGATTATTGAACAGCGTCAGATCTTTAGCTGTAAACTGAAGAAACCAGTTCCAGACAGGGGGTAGTTCAACACCTTTCCCTTCACAGTGCAGGTTCCCATT